TGCTGTCCAGGGCGCAGGACGGACACAAGACCCATCCTGAATGTCCCACTGAGGGGAAGGAGGGCAAGACGTCTGATGGTGGAGCCCAGATGTGGGAGTAGAGTCAGAGCCCATGCTGGGAGCCCCTGCAGGAATCCCCGTTGTCCTAGGCTCTGGGATGGCGGCCTGAGCCTTTGCCCCATCCTCACACCTACATTCATCAGAACCGAAGGTCACTGAAGGTCAGACCTCGGGATAGAGAAATGACTACACCGACCTTCCCCTACCCAGTCAGCTTGGGTGGAAGACCAAAACCTTACCCACCGCTTCCAGGAAAGTCCTTATTCCCCTTGTGCACTTGCTGCATGACTTGTTTCCCCACTGATCTCCATTTAATCAATATTGCCTAAGTGACTGTACTTGTAATCTTGTTAGGTAGCTATTTTGTTCCACCGTAGGCCTGCATCACCTCATGGCTTTGCTGTATAAAAATCCCTTGAGAACCGGGGTCCTCAGGCCACCCACTCAGGATCCCCTTCTGTCCCTCTTAGACAGAAGCTTGCTTCTCTCAATAAACTCTTTCTACTCTTCACCTCTGTCTTTCCTAGAACTCATTCTGTGATTTTAGAGAACACACACTCGGAGTACCGGACATCTAGCAGGTCGGGAGTTATATTTCCCTTACGTTATCTGGGGTATTCGGCAGTCCTATCTCACCCCTGTGTAATATGCCCTGTACCATATGCACTTCTGCTGTTCTGCTGTGGGCTCATGGCTGGAATGGTGCACCAGCATTCATCCCAACTGTGCCACTGGTACACTCTTGACGAGGTTGCCCTTGTACAATCTTGCGAAATGCCCCGCTCAGTTCTGTTTCGCTTTTTCCCAATGCTGGGCTTGAACCCAGGACCTCATGAAGTTAGGCACCCGCCCACCCTGGATCTCCACCCCAGCCCCGGGTACTCTGCTTTTTAGTTTGCATTTTATTTGACTCTTCCACAGCATTTAACACATTTGATAATTCTAGGTTTTCTTCCTTCTTCTTGCTGAAAACTATCACTTCCTGGCTGCTTCATCTGGAATGTCCAAGAGCTCTTCCCTGGGCGTCTTCTCTATCTTCCGTTACATCCAGAGAATAGTTCCTAATCTAGGGCCCTAAATACCATTGTTTGATTTTTTTTTTTTCTGGTACCAGGAATCGAACTCATGACCTCGTGCTTGCCAGGCAGGCGCTGTGCCACTGAGCTAAATCCCCAGCCCCCCTAAATACCATTGTGTGCTGATCATTTTGAAACATGTTTCCAGCCCAGGTTGGTCTCTTGACTTCCTTCTTTCCTTTCAATCTAGCTGTGTGTTCAGCAAGCCCACTTAGGTACATTGCAGCATTCTCAAAATCAATGTGTCAAAACTAGACTTCTTATCTGCTGGGTGTGGTGGTGCACATCTGTAATCCCAGCACTTGAGAGGCTGAGGCAGGAGTTTCACTGCGAGTTTGAGACCAGCCTGGACTACAAAGTAAACTCAAGGCCAGCCTGAACTGCATAGTAGACCCTGTCTCAAACACACACACACACACACACACACCCCTAGACCTCTTGATTTCCCCACACACTGACTTACTCACAATATCTCCTCTACCCATAGTTTCATTTTTCCAAATTATTGGCATCACTAAAAACCAAACTATTGGCATCACCCAAAACTCATCTTTATTTTTCTCTCAGTAGTTCTAATTCACTAATAAACTAATGAGCTATCCCTTTAAAATACATACACAAGTTGATTACTCACTTTCTCCCTTGCCACTGTCATATATTCATGAAACAGGAGATTAAGGTGTGGCAAAGCTGGCTGAGAAAGTAGGCGTGACCTGTTAATAACAAAACCCAGGGACACATGACCGGAGCAGTTCTCAAAGCCCTGCGCATGGGCTTCTCTGGAGTTTTCAGTAGGATGATCCCAGCACTGCCTCTCAGGAGGCATGCAGACATTCTCTCAGACTTCCTCAAGACTTAGACCTCATGGAAGGATGCAGACGTCACAGAGGGCTCCCTGTTGTGGCTTTCCTCTGCATAGCTTCTGTTGTGTCCTCCAGGGTATATTTTTAACTTGCCGTTTCACTTGGCCCAAGCTCACTCTGCAGAGCCGGTTTAGTTTCTCCCTCACTTTCCACTTCAACTTTTCTCTAATAAGCTTGGCCAGCGCTTTTTGTTCGTTTCACTCATTTCTTTGTTCGGGATGATAAGAACCTGAACTCCAGCTCCAGGAGGAGAGGTGAGTAACCCAGACCTGTAGTGTTTATTTGGGAGTCATTGTTAGTTACCTGGTAACACTCACATCGGGTTTTGCCAGCTGTTTTAGCCGTCACCGCCCTTTTTTCTTTGTCGCGTGTGCTTCTGTCCCTAGAGGTCCAGGTGTCCAAATCCCTGACGTCTCCAGAGCAAACTGGACTCAGTGTTGCAGAAGTTGAGACATTTTACCATCCTTTTCTCCTGAGTATGTGGTAGAGTTGCCCCTTAAAAAAAGAATTGTTAATGATGAAAAAAATAAGTTCAACCTAATTTTCATTATATCAGTACTCAAATCAAATCTCTATTGCTCGTAGGCTACTGATCTGCATGGGCCCTATTTGTATCTAATCGTATTTCTCAGCATTGCTGATCTTTGAAGGGCCCCTCAGCTCCTTGCCTTTCTTAGCCTGCTCGTAAGAGGAGTCGGTTACCTGGGTGGCTTGTGGAGGTCCCTACCGAAGGGCAGGTGGGAGAGGGCCTGGAGCAGGACGGGGCCCGGGTCAGTGTGCCCCAGTGCTAGCAGTGCTACTTAATGGCCCTCAACCGAGCCTCGCTTTCTCCACGTTTGGATTTTCACATGTGGCAGCCTCAAAGAGATGTAAGGGCCAGGTGTGGGGTGCATTCCTGTACCGCCAGCACTCTGGGAGGGCAGGGCACGTTAGAGCCCACCCTGGGCAGTTAGGGGCCTCGGTGAGACTGCGTCTCAGTAAAGAGGAACAAAGAAGTGTTGAGGATTAGCTCAGTGTAAAGGCTTTGGATTCAATCCCCAGTACCACCACCACCACCAAAAAGAGAGAGAGAAGGAAAAAGCTTGGTGGCTGACTTCCTTGAATGCACGTGTACTACAGGAAGGGTGGACCAGACAGCGTCCACCACCGGGCATGGGGAAGCCTCAGCACGGCTCTATTCCCCGGGTCACCACTGTGTGAATCTCTTTCCCAAGCACCTTTCACATCGTCACCCACACCCAAACCCAGAGCTACCGCCAAAGCTGGCCATAATAAATGTGGAAGGATCCCAGGGCATGTTAGGGAAGGTGGTGGGAGAAAACAAAGGTGCAAGCTCAACAGGACAGGCTTATTTCAGAGGAAACCTGAGAGGGACTGCCCAACTCCTATTCTTGTACAGACTGGGGTGTTTTACAGGGTTGTGAGCGTAATGGAGCGTGGTGAGGGTAGCGTTCAGTGAAAAGGAGTTGCGACTGCCTGCCCACCTGCCAGGGACAAGGCTTGTAAAATTGGTGTAGTGGTTGCCCGGCAGGAGCGAGGCTGGCTGGTGGGAGTTACGGGTGTAGCCAGGGTTGCTGGGCCTCATTAACCCACGATTATATACCTTTAGCAGGGGTAAAAGCATAGCGGGCTGGAAGAGGCTTAAAGTGGTCTCAGCCTAGGGTGGCAGTGGTCGGACCCCTTCAGAAGGGGTCAGCAAATCGCCTCTTTTATTTTGCAGAGCTGGCGGTCAAAGGTAGGATTTCGCACATAGCACTCGATAGCTGAATTACTTCCCCAGTCCCAGGAAAACTGTTCCGAGAGTACTTATTTATTTGTTTGTTTTTTTGTTCTGAGTATGTAGCAGCAGGGGACTAACAAGAGTAGTTGCCATAATTAATGGTGCTAAGTGAGAAAACAGTATGAAGAAATCTTGGGTAAATGGAAGCTGAACTTCGGCAGCTTTGAAGTTGGAAAGAAGATACAATAGCCTTGTCAGATACTGAGCTAGAGGTGCCTTAAGACCTTACACGAATGTTGCACTGAAATTATCCCAGTGCTTAGGAGGCTGAGGCAGAAGGATTGCCATTGAGTTTAAGGCCAGCCGATGCTACATAGTGAGTTCAAGACCAGCCTGAACTACATAGTGAGACCCTGTCTCGGAAGGATGGGAGGGAGAGGGGAGGGAGACAGTTACTCCTGGAGAACAGCTCAGCCTGTCACACAGCCAGAGGACTTGGAGCAAAACTTGTGGACAGAATCCTGGCACCAGGAAGTGGTAGATTCTCGACATACTGGTTGCACTGTCCAGAGGCTTCTGTGCTCATTTCATGCAGCTCACCACTGAGGTGGTGAGCTCTTAGAGAACAAAGTTGTCAGATGTTCCAATGAGGATGTTCACAGCTGACTTCACCGAGGGCTTAAAATGAACCCAGGGCTGCAATGTGGCTCCATGTCGGAGCGTTGGCCTAGCATCTGCAAGACCTTGGTTCCATCTTCAGCACCATAAAATAAAAGCAAAACTCAAATGAATTTTATGGCTGGTGTGTGGCTCAGTAGTATAGCATTCGCTCAGCCTGTGCACTGCCCTGTGTCCCATTCCCAGCATTCCAAATAAAGTGAGCACGAACAGAATAAGTTAGCCTTGAAAGATAACGCAGCATTGGGTACAGATCAGTGACCATTCCGTTACTAGTGTCCGACGTGTGGGTAATTGGAAATTAAAGATGTAATAGTGTACCTGTAGTCATATCACCTGTAACTGTCTCGTATTTTGTATCCTTAATGAGATCAGGAGTTGCTTTGTTCTACTGATCAAAGACTGTTTCACCCTCTTGGCCCTGGGTATTTGTGCACTTGCCTCTTTTCTGAAAGAGGTTTCTTCGGGCAGAAGCTGCGTCTGGCACACCTTCCTCCACGTGCCTGCAGGCAGCAGGAGTGTAATAGTGACTCCGGGTGAGTGGACGACTTTTCTTTAACCCAGGTACTCTGACCCACCTCTGGTTTTGTTTTTCACCCACAGCTGTGCAAGTCTGACATGCTGTGGGAGCAGATAGTTCAGTCGGCCTGTGACACCATCACTCCCGACATGAGGACTCTGGCGGAGGACATGGGCTGGAGGAAGATGTTCTTCACCAACAAGCTCCAGCTGCAGCGGCAGCTCCGCAAGAAGAAGCAAAGACGGGAAAGCCAGCAACAGGCGCTACTTTAAGCAGACCTTTTCCTACACAGCGGGAGCTGAGGCAGGGCTGTTCTTCCCTTCAGGGTCCAAATCTCTTGATTCTTAAGAAAATGAATCTGGAATCGTCTGAAAAGCACAGAGGGTTTGCACACAAGTGCAGCAGAACCTGGTCACCCGTGCCTTTCTTGAACCATCTCTGTGAGCCTCAGATGTCAAAGCTTAGCCCTAGAACACAGGCTGAAAGACAGAAAGCCTGTCAGATCGCTGGGTTCCCAACTCTGCTCACCCCCCTGAACCTCTAAGAAAAGAGCTTCTGTTGTATATAAACAATAAATGATTACAGATACCTATTGTATCTAAGCATTGGAAAGGGTAGCTGGGTTTTGAGTGTTTTCCTGGCGTCGTGGTGTGTTTACTCACTTTCCCATTGCTGACACAGTGCTGCACACCCACAGCTTAGGAGGAGAGGTTTAATCTGGCTCATAGCTTCAGAGGATCCAGTTCATGGTTGGCTGGCTCCATTGCAGAAGCATCACGCAGAAGGCCTGGAACCATATGCAGTACCAAACCCATGATCCTGGGTGAAGAGCACCTGGGAATGTGCATTACTAATCCCCCTGGCAGCCCGTAAGCCAGTCAAGCTGACACGTCCAGCGTAACGTCCACCCACGGGGACTTGTGCTGTAGGAGGAGCTTTGGGTGAATGCAGCTGCCCTCTCATCTTTGTTAAGTTTGTATTCAGGGTCCCATCCTTGTGGGTCCGTCCCCTATGCAGACAACCTCTAGCCTGGACCATGGCTGGAGAAGACCTGGACTAGACCTTGCTGAGGGTATGCTCCCCAGGACTTGCGCTCCCATAAAAGCCTGTTCTTGTTTTGGTTTGGTTTTTTAAGACAGTGTCTTGCTGCCTATTCCAGGCTACTCACTATGTGGCCAAGCATCATTTTGAGAGGAATCATTTAGAGTATAAAAAGGAACACTTTAAATGTGGATGTGATAGTGTTTGCTAATAGCTACGCACTAATCAGTACAGCTTCTCGACCCAGAAATGAAACACCACTGGAGTACCAGCCAGGGTTAGCCGCTGCCCTGAATGGCTCCAAGCAAGGTGCCCAGGCCTGTTCAGCTGACACTGCTGCGTGCCTGCTGGATGCAGTCAGCGAAGGAAACCACAGCAGTCCCACTTTCTAATGAGACAGTTTGATAAAGGTTTACCTGCAAACACGGAGGCTGAGTTAGTACCCTCTCTGCGGAGCTGTACTGATGTCCTACAAACGGCCATACCGGCGGCTGTGGCTGGACTTGCTGGTTGGCTGCTGTTCATCTGGTCTCAGCAGCAAGGAGTGCTTGGAAATAAACACAGTGGCACTGAGACATTCCAAGTGCTGAATAACTTCGCTCTTCTGGTCGCCCCCGGTGCGACTGTATTGATACTCGTTCTGATCTGCAAAAGCAGTGGTGAGTGAAACTGCTAATGCCTTCACTGGAGTCAAAGCAGTGGCCCCAAAAGGAACCAGGATCACGATATTCCTTAGCACTGTGCAACTGCAGGTTTGCTTGCAGATATCCTCGATGAAACAGTAAAAGTTACCTTTTGTTAAGTCTTTACCCTTGAGCTTATATCTTTTTAGTGTGTGGCAAAATGGAAGTAAGCTAAAGCACGTCCGCCACCAACCTCTCGGCTTGTCTTGAAGAAAAGCAGTTATGAGACTCAGTTGCAAGCTGATCTGCATTTTCCATAGAACCCCATGTTTATGTTGGGCAGACACGCTGTTACCACGTTGAGAACCAGGCGGACGCTCCAAGGAAAGCAACTGCAGTATTTGTTGGCAGTGATACTGTTCAAGCTTTAAAAAGGAAATTAGAATTTTGGAGAACTTACGTCAACCTCCATAAGTGTGTCCAGTGTCTAACACCTAAAGTATTCTGCACTGCTTAAGTACTCTTTTCTAAAGAGACTGGTGGCAGTTTTAACACATCCAGTTCCTAAAAAATTGAAATATAACTACACAGCATCAAATTCACCCTGTTGGAGTACAATTCAGTGGTCCTCATGTAGCCACAAGGTTGTGCAGTGCTCATCGTTGTCTAGTTCCAGAACATGTTTAGCACACCACAGAGAGATGTACCGGTTGGCAGTCATTCCCTAATTCCTCTCCCTGAGCCCCTGGCCACCACTTTCAGGCTCTGTGGATTTGCCAGTTCAGGACATTTCACATAAATGGAATAACTATGATTTTTTTATATACACAGTAACTGATATAAAGAAAAAAATTTTTTGTTGTTTTTTAAATTTTTTTTTTTTTGAGATAAGGTATCCTTGAATTCACTATGTAGCCTAGGCTGGCCTTGGACTTGTGGCAATCCTCCTGCCTCAGCCTCTCAAATGCTGGGATTACAGATGTGCACTACCACACCTGGTCTGATGTACAAAATATTGTGCGATATAAAAAAAATTTGGAAGATCAACAAACTCAGTGAACCAATAGTTTCCACATGACCAAACTATGCTGTTTTTTTTTTTTTTTTTTTCCTTTGATACAGTCTTTCACTGTGTAGCCCAGGATGGCCTGGAACTTGTGGTGATCCTCCTGCCTCAGCCTTCCAAGTGCAGGGATTACGGGCGTGCACCACCATGCCTGGCCTAAAGCATTGTGTTACAAAATGATAGATAGGCTAAAGATCCCCTCAAAATGTAGGCTAAGCCACTTGGCATGTTTTTTGTCTCATTAGATAGCCCAAATTGGCCTTGAACTTGTTCTCAGCCTACCAAATGCTGGGATTTAAATCAAGGGATTTTAATGTAACATTGTACAAGAAATTCATTAACAGAGCCTCAGATTTTCACTTACTTTTAGGAAATGTAGTTGTTACATGTGGTATCAAAACTACACTTATAGGCCGGGCGTGGTGGCACACACCTGTAATCCCAACACTCAGGAAGCTGAGGCAGGAGGATCGAGGTGAGTTGGAGGCTAGCCTGGGCTACACAGTGAGACCCTGTCCCCCAAAAAATGAACACTAAACTTACATATTTGCAGAAGTAAATGTGAGGATCCACCTGTCTATTATTAAGATATACATTAATGAAATTTTCAAAAACATATAGAACAGAGCCACCATTCTTACTAATTTTTTTAAAAATATACTTTTTGTAAAAAGTTATATTAATAATAGGCTCATCATTTTAAAATAAAGTAATATGTAAATATTTTAAAACATTATTTTTAATTTCCAGTGAAAATATCACCGGTGCAGCCTGCAAACACAAAACATCTTTGGGCCCTCAGTGTTTTTCCTTTTCTTTTTCCCTTTTCCTTGGTTCTGGGGATTGAACCCAAGGCTTCACTATGCTGGCAAGGGCTGTACCACTGAGCCGCATCCCCAGACACCCCACACACATACACTGGCTTTTAAGGGTGCAGAGACTTGCGCCCCATGAGAACTACAGGTATAGACAGCACTTCTCTGTATCTTTCACTTGACAGGGTTATTCCTAGTGATAGTTCTTTTTAAAAATTTCTCTGCACTTTTATCAATTACAGTTTCATTTCAACAGGTCACAAGTCAAATTTCCTTTAGCTTTGTTGTGTGTGTCACTCTCAGTGGCTGTAATAGCAGCTCACTAGTAGCACGCAGGCTGTCCAAGGGCAGGGACTTTGTACCAGCCTCCCTTGTGTCCATGGAATCCCTTCTGCTGATTGAAAGAAGCCAGCGTGAGGTGCAAAGACAGTAGAATGAGGGTGTTGTACGCTATGAGTGCCCCAAAGATAGTAACTGACCGAGGTGCTGCATGAAAGGAAATATTGAGAGTGTCAGGACAGCTGTTTAAAATTGATTGCAATGTTTGGCTCTTAAATACATAACAACCAGCTGATGAATTTTTAGGTAAGACAGAGATATTCACTGCACTTCCCAAGGTTGTAATTCTTTGAGTTGTAAGGAGGCCCAGGAAGTCATGTTTATAATAGTTTTGGCATATAATTTTCTTTTTCTTTTCAATACAGGGCTTAACTATACACTTCAGGCTGGCCTTGAACTCGCTTTGTAGCCACGGCTGGCCTCGAACTCACAGGGTTCCTCCTGCCTCAGCCTCTCCAGTGCTGGGATTACAGGCTTGAGCCACCATGCCCGGTACAATAGTTTTGGATGCCTGTCTTGTCCCCAGATTTTCATCCCGAGTGCTGCTGTTACCTTGTGCCTTGTATCAGTCACTTTTCTTGTTACTGAAACCCGATCCCTGATACCCACAATTTAGGCAGCTTTCATTTGACTCGGGGCCTCAGGGGATTTGAACCTGTGATTTGCTGGTTCCAAGGCAGCTTCGTCGTGGTGGAGAGGCCTGGGAGGCGGAGCACAGGAACAGTCCAAAGAGGGAAGGCCCAGATTGGCCCCGAGGCCACGCCTCCACACCCCTCCCCCAGACACACCCAGAGAGTGCTTTACTAGTCCTGGCACCCCAGACAATCAAGGTGACACAGGTAGCTTAGCTTCTGCAGCTACTTCCTTCCTTCCTAGATGTTCTATACATATATAAGCTTTCATATGTGTGAGTGACTTTTTGTTTTGGTTGCTAACATAATTGTGCAAGTGTTAAACATATTATTCTGTCTTGCTTTATTTTTTTTCACAAGAATCAAAAAGACTGAAGACTATTTCCTAATTTCACTTAGGGAGGGACCTCCCCCTGCCAAATAACTACATACATTTCACTCTGCAGTTATAGTAAGATGGTCAGGCACACCGTAGGGACAGAGGACAGACTCAGGGCCCTTAAACTGTTACTCATTAAATTCTTCATTTGTATTTTCTTTTGCAGCAATCAGGGACCCAGAAGCTGCTTTTGGGGAAATAGACACTTCGCCTGGGCCTGCAGATGCCCAATAGGTAACTCCCGGAAGAATAAGGTTTGACCTTCATTTTGTATCTGTCTCCTTTATTGGGTCAGATCCTTGCTCAGCTTTCCATGCAGGCATATTAATCATTTAGGGGATGTCTCTGTAAAGCAGCAACACAAGGTTGACTGGTCCTAAATGTACATAACTGATCTCATCTTCAGCAAGATTGAAGATATAGCCAGGCGTGGTGACACACACTTGTAATCCTAGTACTCAGGAGGCTGAGGCAGGAGGATCACTTCAAATTCAAGGCCAGCCTGGGCTACAAAGTGAGTTCAAGGTCAGCCTGAGCTACACAGGGAGACCCTGTCTCAAAAAAGAAAAGAAAGAAAAACTAAAGACATCAAGATAAGGGACTTACAGGGACATTCAACTACCAATAAGCACTCAGAAATCTCCAGTCATTGCCTTAAACTGATGATGCTCACCTTGTATTCCAGCAGAGCCACTGCAAAACTGAGACCTCTCTAAGCAATGCAAATTGGTCCAGCTGAGGTACTGACGTGTAGTCTTCAAAGCAAGGCAACAGGGCAGTGTTTCCCTGCCCCTGTAGCTCCAAAAAGAAAAAAAAGCGTGTGTGAACCAAGGGAGATGGAGAGCCATGCTCCATGCTGTTAGCTGGGATCGAACCTCAAGATAAGAGGCTATGACTTCTCAGGCAATAAAAGATTACACATCAGGGCTGAAGCACTGACCCCCAAACATTAGTACGACCTCAACTGTGTCATGCAGATTGCTCTTCCTGCACGTCCTTCTCTCTGCATATGGCAGAGGTGATTTCAGGCCTCCCACCTAGCCCAGCTCACAGCTCTCATGTAGTTCCCGCCATTCTTACAGTCACTCATCCTTGAGCTACTGCCTTCTTCACAAATTAATAAAGCCCAGGTTTGGCCCTGGGTAAAAGCCTTTGTTCCAGTTAGCCAGCAGCTTAGCTGGACTTGGGACCCCTCGGCTCCCCATAACTATAAATACGGCTTAATGTCTTTATTCATGGGTTGCACTGGAAGTTGTAGATTGGAATTAACTCACTAGGATTCCAATAACTTTTCCATGGGATTACAAATATAGACGTCCTGCGCAGTGACAGGGACCGGGAAGGGCTCTCCTCTATAACCTACATATTTCCCTGAGGGATAAATAATAAGATTGATATTCTAAATAGGCAGCAATCGCTTGGGTAGGGGACCAAGACCAGACCCATCCCTCCCAGCAGTTTCCTTCCACGTACACTTGCTACATGACTTGTTTCCCCACTGGATCAATACCACCTAAGTAACTTTACTTGTAATCTTACTGGGTGATCATAGTTTTGTCCCACCTCGCACTCACCTCATGATTCTGTACCCGCCTCATGAATTTGCTCTATAAAACTTCCCTTGAGAAGCGGGCTCATGGACAACCCACTTTCTGGGTCCCCTTCTATCTCTCTTAGACAGAAGCTATCTTTCCTTCAATAAATATTTCCCACCCTTAACCTCTGTTGTTCCTCAGAATTCATTCCTCCATTTGGGGGTGCATGAACTTGGCATATCAGACATCTACCAGGTTGGAAGTTATAATATTTCCTTCAAGTGACCTGGAGTACCTTATGTCATCCCTGTAGCAGTTCCATGACCACAACTAAAGAAATACTATTCCAGATAAAAGAAACAAGTAATCATTAGCTACATTTTAGAGTGCTTCCTTTAAAGCAAAAAAAAAAAAAATCAAAAAACAAAACAAAACCACCCACCCAAAACAAAAACAAAACAACCCACCCTGATATTTTATATAAAACTCATTTATCACCTTTAAAGAAGACAAACTTTATTTAGATATATGTAAATAAAAACCATTTGGGAATATGAGGGACAAATCATAAAGCACATGATACACACAATTAACCCTTTATGATATCTTTAAAGAACTAGGTATAATAACAAAGAGGAAATACTTGCTATAATTCTTCATATTATTCTGATGTCACATGAATATTGCAAGCAGGTCTTACTCTATTTTTGTAAAGTGGGAACTTCTACTGGTTCAGTAGGAGCCTCCACTTCCATAAACCCAGTAAGTCACCGAACTGTACGGAATGAACATGAGCAGGTCTAACGGGGACGTGATTAAGCTGAGTGACTGGATGGAAGGTTCATTTTTTCTGCTGCGTGTCAGCAGTGAGCATCCAAACACAATAGCACCATTCAAAATATGTGACACTGCCTCTTGTTAATGTGACGGTGTCAGAAAATGACAGTAGTGAAGTTTTAGAACACACACTATGTCTTTCAACCGAATCCCTCTAATTTTACAGTAAATGTACATAGCATTGCCTCAGCCTTTAGGATTACTTTTATCAAAGTGGAGAGCTGACTTCTCAACAGCAGCCAAAGCCATAATGGTAACAGATAGGTGCTTGTGTTAAACCAAACGGAGGATGACATGCAATTTACTGTCTATGGCAATTCCCAGGCAATTCTCAAGTAATGCGGAGGTAATGCGGAGTGTGTATATTAGGCATGCTTTTGTTTTTCCTTCCCATTAGCTGCCTTTTATTATTATTGTTATTTTGGTGGTCCTTTTATTGCACAACCCTCCCACCAGACATTAGAGCAGAAAATAATGTAGATGAAACAAAAGGAGACTTTTCTGTTCAATCACTTGTTAACAGCTTGGAAAGGCGTGGCAGAATCCAACTGGCTAACATTAGGTTTGTGCTATCATTCTACGGCCCCAATTCCTAGTAGGGTTCCTATTCGAATTACCAAGGATAACTGATAATGGGCTGTATTCATTTTAAATAAATCTGACCCTACACATTGCCATGACATTAAAGGATTTATTTTGGGCAACGAGCAAACCGTAAGTAGGAATTTATTTCCATTTTGCAGTGCTGTGGATGGAACCCAGGGCCTGGCACATGCTCGGCAAGTGTTTGCCTCCTGAGCTACACCTCCAGCCCTGGGAGGAGGCATTTAAATAGTTTTCAGATAATGTGTAAACAAGTAAGGCAGCCAGAAATTTCAAAATGATTCTGGGAAGAACATTCTGCAGTCTGAAAAGTGTTTTGCTTAGAAAAATAGACATCTCAGATAAAGAAGGGTATTATTTGATGTGGATCACAGTCGTGTCATGTATGAAGTCAAGGAAGAGAACTATTTTTAGAACTGTGCTGAGCTCCGGCAACAACAGAGGCACCGGAAATGGGCTGTTTGTCACCGCTCCCCCAAGGCTTGGGGCACTGTCATCTAGACCAGGAGAGTTCCACTCATGACCACACACTGAGACAGTCTTACGACAGTCTCACATTTCAGATGAGCAGATGCTTCCCAAGTGACTTAACTGTTCACTTTACATATCACCAGCAATTCATCCTACAATCTATTTATTGGGCAGGTGAAACTCAGAAAACATTGTTCAAGGCCTCAGATCACACTAACAATCTAAGACAGAGACCAAAGATGTGAATAAAAATGCCTGTATCATAGCCCTTGTTTGGAGGGATGTCTGTACAAATACAGTTTCTGTTAAGGAAATCATTAATATTATTTACTTGTTAAGGTCTTGTCTCAAGATTTGGTTTATTACTGAATTCATCTTTTATTACTGGACAATTCAATTAGAACTGATGGCATACACCATCATGTAGAGGAAGATTGGTAGATCCTCCTGCAGGATTCTTACGTAAAAATATAAACTGTGTTTCTTTAATTGTACGAAATTGTATTACCTTTGAAACTGGGGCCTGCCTTTGAATTATACTGGTAGATCAATAAACTCCCTGTAATAATGATTCTGTCATCTTCTTGTGTTTGAAACCTCATCATCCGTATGCCTTCTGGAAACATGCAGATACTTTACAAAGAAGTCATGGAGTTGAAAAGCTTTTATTCCCTGTTTACGTTTGTAGCTAAAACCCTAGTCCTGGTGCATGATGAAAGAGAGCAGTTTTTTTTTGTTTCTGTTTTTGTTTTGTTGAGACAGGGTTTCACAACCTAGTTCAGGCTGGCCCTGAACTGACTTTGTAGCCCAGGCTGGCCCTAAACTTGCAGTGATCCTCCTGCCTCAGCCTCCCAAGTACTGGGATTACAGGTATGTGTCATCAAGCCCAGTAAAAGAGAGTTTTTTAAAGGGCATTTCTACCAATTGTTTTAAAGGCTGTAAACACTGTCATCTGTGAAAACTACAGTCTTCAAAACCTTCCAGCACTGTCTCTCCCCAGACCAAGAGGTAGCACCGCTTCCAAATGAAGCAGGGACAGTGCATTTCTGAGGGACGCTGCCCTGCGCTCAGGCTCCTCACAGCGGCCGTGGGAGGTAGGCACGAGTGACAGGAGGCCATCCACAGGGGACCCACATGGCCCTAGACATGCGAGCTGTCTGTGTGCTCTCTTCTGGTTTGCTCTATAATTTGGACACACGGCTGGATGAGTAAGGAGAGTATCCCCAGCATGTAAAGCAAACCACAAATATAGAAGGAAAAATCGTATTTCTGTGTGATGTCGTAGATCCACCCTGCAAAACAAAAAGGAATATATTCAGTGTAATACAGTTGATAAAACCCAAGAACACCAAGCAGGCATTTATCACTATTACACATATTTTTATAAAAAAGTATTCATTACATATTATTATTGTTGTTATTATTTTGTGGTGCTGGGGCTGAACCTAGGGCTAAGCACTGAGTTACACCCCTGGCATGTAGCCATTTTTTTGTGCTTTCTTTTTCTTTTTTCTTTTTCTTTTTTCTTTTTTCTCTTTTCTTTTTTCTTTCTTTCTTTCTTTCTTTCTTTCTTTCTTTTTTCTTTCTTTTCTTTCTTTCTTTCTTTCTTTCTTTCTTTCTTTCTTTCTTTTTTATTCCTTCCTTCCTTCCTTCATTCTTTCTTTTTCTCTTTCTTTCTTTTTCTTGTTTTTCCCTTTTCTTTTTTTTCCTTTGGTTGAGAAACAGTCGCACTATGTATCCCAGGCTAGCCTCAAACTTGTGGTGATCCTCCTGCCTCAGCCTCCCAAGTGCTGCGATTACAGGTGTGCACCACCATGCCTAGGTTGTTGTCTGCTTTTTGAGACAAGGTCTCACTATAGCCCAGATTGGCCTTGAGCTTGGGTTCCTTCTTCCTCGGCCTCCAAGTAGACAGGATTATAGGCATGTGCCACTATACCCAGATCAAATATGATTTAATATTATAATCTAACACATTAATATAATAATCTTATTAGGTTACTACTAGCCCTTTATATTACTATTATAAATTGCATGGATTCTAAGACACTGGTCTATAATTATTTTGTATATCAGTATGAAAGAAAGATCTTTGTCATTTAAAATATGATTCAGTAGGTATTTTTGCATTTTAAAATTTTTATTGGTACATTCTAGATATACATAATGATAACACTCATTGTAGGGAATTTATACCTGTACCTGACATGTCTTGCTTCTTCTTTTCCCCATCCTCCTCCTCTCCCTTCAGCCCCATTCCCTGCCTTACTTACAGAAGTGCTGCTTCCACTGTTTCCCTTCTATTCTTTTTTCTTGGTCCCTTCTTTCCTTTCCCTCCCCGTCCCTTGTTTCCCTTCACATTTGAACATTTCCTTTCCATTTCCCAATCCCTATTATACATTTTGGTCCTCATTTTGTGCTTTTAGTTTCTCACATCAGAGAAACCATGTGGTATTTAAACATGTGTATCCAATTTATTTCATGCAAGAGTGTAGTCTCAAGGTGCATCCATTTACCCAGAAATGGCTCAAGTTTATTCTTCATTATGGCAGAGAAGTATAAAGAATTATCTTTATCCATATCCAGTTGATGGACATTTGGGGCTGTTTCCAAAATTTAGCTATTACCAACTGTGCCACTGTAAACATGGGTGGGCACATATTGCTGTAGTACGATGCTTTTAATTCTTTCAGGAAGATACCAAGAAGGGAATACCTGAGTCAAATGGAACCTTGAGTTTTAGTTTTTTGAGGAAGCTCCACCCTGCTTTCCACGGTCTGCATGCCCACCAACAGTGGAGAAGAGTTCCTTTTCCCCCCAGCACCTCTGGCATTTCTTGCTGATTGATTTCTTGATGACAGCCATTGTTTCTGGGATGAGATGGAACCTCAGCACTGTCTTAATTTGCATCTCTCTTTTTTTTTTTTTTTTGCACCAGGAATTGAACTCAGGACCTTATGCTTGCCAGGCAGGCACTTATGCCACTGAGCTATATCCGTGGCTGCATCTCTCGAATGACCAGTGATGTTCAATATTTTTTCAGATATTTATTTGTCATTTCTACTTCATCTGTGAAATGTCTATTCATTTCAGATGCCCATCTCTGGAAAGGGTCTTTAAATTTGGAGGGGGACCTGATTTTTGTTTTTAGTTCTTTATATATTCTTTTTGTTGTTGCTGTTCTTTTTTGGTTGTTGTCATGGTTGTGGGTTTTATTTGTTGCAGTTTGTTTGTTTTATTTTGTTTTTTGAGACAGGGTCTTGTCATGTAGTCCAGGCTGGTCTGAAACTCAGGGTGCTCTTCCTGCATTAGCCTCCTGAGTGCTAAAATTACAGGCATGTGCCACCTTTATATATCCTAGATATTAGTCCGTTGTCTGAGGGACAACTGGTAAAAACTTTTTCTCACACTGAGTCTTAGTTACTTCTCTCACTGATGAGATAAAATACCTGAAATACCTGATGAGATAAAATACCTAAAGTTAGAGGGGAAAAGGTTTATTTAGCTCACAGTTTGTACAGGTTTCAGTTCATAATTGGCTGGCTCCTGGCAGGGTGGCACATGGCAGAGGGACAATAGTTAGTGGTGGCAGAAAACAGCAAGAGCAACAAGAGAGAGCAAGACAAACCTCTTTCTGTCCCTCATATCCAGTCCACTGGGATTAGGGCGGTGCCAATCCAGTCAGTGGACTGATCCGGCAGTCTTAATCCCAGCACTGGGCCACCAATCAGTCACACACTCCACAGTCAGCCACCCCAAAACAACTCCATGACCACAGGAGGCTTTGGGGAGACATCTAGACACAAAGCATAACAGTTCCCCTCCAGTGATGCCATGAGATTTGGTTATTAAACCTAGAAGTCTTCTGGTGGAGTTTTTGGGGAGTTCTATGTAGAGTATTATATCATCTGCAAATAATGATTATTCAACTTCTTCCTTTCCTATCCTTCTTCCTTTTATTTCTCTCTCTTGTCTAATTGCTCTGGCTAATGTTTCCAGAACGATACTGAATAAGAATGGTGACAGTGGACATCCTTGTCTTGTTTCTGATTTTGGAGTGAAAGCTTTCAGACTTTCTCCATTTAGTATGGTGTTGGTTGTTGGTTTGTCATATATATATATATATATA